AATAAAAGGGTTTTAGGGAGTCAATTGTTCTGCAAGTTCCACTAGTTCAATTGGACCTTCTTTAAGGCCTATTTGAATCAAGGGAACTTACAGAGGAGTTGACTCATCAAATTCCCAATGATTCATTGGGCCTACTCTAGCATGATTTACTACACTAAGCAACAGGATTTTGGCCACTGGCTTCTGACAACTGCTTTCCATTGCATTTGCAAAATTAACATGTTAGTCAAGTTGTATACCCAGTATAAAGAGGCAAGGTATACATTTGATAAAATACACACTAATTTCATGCTATATTTCAGGAACTGATTGAGAACAGTTACTTTTGTCCCACTATATGGCTACAGAACAACAGCAGTAACTACAATGCCTACTCATTGTAAATTAAAAGAATCAGTACGAAACCCAGGCAAAAGCTGAAACCACAGAACATTGTCTAAGCTGGAAACATTTAAAATCAATTTTCTTATGATGCAAATCCTAAGTGTATGTTTACTTTGCCCTTGGGATTATGTAATATATGAATCAGAAAGAACAGTACTGGGTAACAGAAAACGGATACAGTTTTTTTCACCTCTCCCTCAGACGTAGCGGAAATGTTGGATCTCCATTGTAATTTATCTGCCCACACACAGTCTTGCTCACATGCAAGGTGGGCGTTCTCTGGTGGTTTTGATTCGTGCTTTGTTGAAGATAAAAACCAGACACTAAAAAGGAAGGTCCTGTTGTTTGAAAGGCAAACTTGTAGCACATTTGGCACTGAATGAGGTCAACAGCTGATACCATAAAAGGACTTTTTGAAAGAAACAGGAAACAACACCTGGACAATGTCCATTTTGGAGGTAAACTTATGTCCTACTCACTTTGAGCACATGAAGAATTAAAAATAGGTTTCTGAACAAAGGACAGCACCAAATATGAATGCACAAAATTAACCTGCTCCACAATGTCATGACTGTATTTTAATATGCTTATATTAGTCAGAATTTGAAGTGAATTTTCTTTTGAATAGGATGACGCGTCATGTGGCTGATGGAGAATCAAGAGGCAATCCATAGATCTAATATTAGAGAAAAAAGTTTTATTTTATATAAAGTAGCATCATCTGTAACCTAAAATAACATATTCAGTTAACAATCACCATCATGGATGATGAAATTGAAAGTTATACTGTGTCTATATGAGGAGCTGGACCAGGTTTCTGTGTCTGAGCTTAAGGAGGTGTTCAGCGACTAACTGAAACTGAGACTGGTATGGAAATCTTCCGAAGCAATTACCAGAGCACCAGGTCTTGTAGAACCTGACTGGAATGCTTATGGGTGCCATTCCCAGTCACAAGGACATGACTGCCTGGGTCCAGCGCTGCATGGCGCCACCAAGTAGCCCAGGGGGATGTGTACACCTTTAGGCCAAAGGTACCTATTTATCTACTTGTATTTGCATGCTTTCGAACCGATAGGTCGGCAGGAGCTGGGACAAGTAACAGGAGCTCACTCCGTTGTGTGGATTCGATCTTACGACTGCTGGTCTTCTGATCTCGCAGCACAGAGGCTTCTGCGGTTTAACCACAGCACCACCACGCTACAGAAGCGTCAATTATATGGGTGATAAATGCAAATGCAAAGTGAATAATAAGGATGTGCCTTAAGAATCTTTCCAAAGATGCCTGTTAGGTATCATAGCATTTCAATGCTTTAATGTCAGGTCAGATGATCATAATTTTAAAAAAATATACATTACAAACAGCGCCAATCTTAAAATCTAAGAATACAGTGTATCCTAAATATACAACATTGGCCACTCCAATATTTTATTGATATTTACTCTTACGATCACTAAGTTGGAAAAGCCTTCAAAAACTATTCACTTGGAAAATCTAATACTACTTACAATGTAGACAAGTGGCTATCCAGCTTATGTTTTTAATGATAAAATTATCCCTCTTGCTATTACCCAAATGCTATCAGGAAATTTTCAATGTTCAACTTCATTTATTTGCTCCACATATATCCTTTACCTATAATGCTGTGTTTCTACATATATGGCCCCTTTCTTTCCACTCGTCCCTTCATCATGAGTCTCACCCCACAAGATGGATGTGTATTAAATAATATTTAATGCCCTGTATCAAGATTTCAAGTTCATTCTGTTTCTTATACTCTGAACAATGGAATAGAAACAATAGATTGTACATTTCAACCCCTCTCTTATTTTCCTTTTTATTGCATCATACATCAATGCTGTTTTCATTCACACTTCTGTTGCCATAGTGAGCAAACGTTTTCACAATGGGGTGAGGAAATACTGACAAACATTGCTATAAATCTGCAAGTTCATTTTCATTCAGTTAAATCTCAGAATAGGATGAGATACCAATTGATAACCTTTTATTTACCAACAGAATGAAACTGAAGTATACATATGCATACACATACGAATAATACTCATTTAAAAGTTAAGATCCAATGGTTATCATTCTATATAGCATCATCTTTAAACTATGGGCTATCCACATATAGAAAAAAATTGAAATATATAAAAAGTATTGGAAAGGCTTAATTTAACAGGGACTCATGGTTACTTCACACATGGCATCTCTCTCTTATAAACATTTGACATATAGGGAGATACTCATGGTTAATTCATACATGGTATATCCCTCTTATAAACATTTGACATATTTATACTATCTGCTATAACACAGAATTTAATTGGCTGACAACTGTAATGGTTAATAATTACTGGAATGCACCAACCACAAGATTCAGTTGTGTTAGAAAAATCTGGTTTCCCCTTTATAAATATATTTTATACATTTCTTCTCTAAGCTTTAAAGCTAAAAAGAGCCAGTATAATAATTGGGCTCATTCAGTAAAACTACTGTGTTGAGTATTTCTTTCATTCTAATAGATAAGACCACAACTAACTTTTCTGTTCTATATTAACTCCAAGGACAGAATAGGTAACAGCAAACACAAAGTCTGGAGGGACACAAGATAAAGGAACAGAGGAAATGCAACTTTCTGTTAGTGGCTTGACATTTTTGCATGTCAAAGTAACATGCAGAGAGTGCTAACAAAATCTGATTCCTGTAATTTAAAAATATCCCTCTTTACTTTTGTACAGTGGGCCCTCAACTTATGAACGGCCCTAGTTGCGAAGGTTTCGGGTTCCCTACTTGCGAACGCAAATTGAGTTACGAACCCAAAAGGCAGGGAGAAAGGGCGGGAAGTTCGAATTTCCTGCCCTTCCTCCCTGCCTTTGGAGCTTTCAAAAGGCTTCCTCCGAAATCGGAGGAAGCCCTTTGAAACCTCTGAAGCCAAAAAGGAGGCAGCCCCGGCAGCATTGGGTTAAAGGAGGGAGCTGATTTCTCCTCGGCTGCCCGGCTTGCTTCTCCAAACAAGAAGCAAGCTGGGCAGCTGGGGAGAAATTGGCTCCCTCCTTTCACCCCATGCTGAGTCCCCTTTGCACCGGGCTGAGCTCAGTCCCTGGCCTGGCGTGAAGGGGACTCAGCAGCTGTGGCAACATCGGGTGAAAAGCCTTGCTTCCCCAGCACGATGGGAGGACTTTGGCCGGAATGGATTAATTGGTTTCCAATGCACTCCTATGGGAATTGCTGGCTCGATTTACTAACTTTCCAATTTACGAACTGACTTCCGGAACGGATTAAGTTCGTAAATCGAGGGTTGACTGTATCTACAGAACTATGTAACCACCTAAACAAGTGAGTTTGTATGAGATTACTGCAGTCTATCACTGTCTGATGCTGTCTATCAGAGCCACAACACAATGTAGACAAGAAGCCGCCCAGAGTGGTAGAATATACCAGATGGGCGGGATATAAATCGAACAAACAAATAAACAAACAAACAAACAAATAAACCACCATACATCTGGGGTCAAATTGTTCTATGTGGAACAGGATTTGTTGATTTTATTATCTCAGCTTGTTATGAATTAAACCTTATAAAGGCATACAGTGGTGCTTCGCTTAACGATTACCTCATTAAACGATGAATCCACTTGACGGTGAGTTTTTTGCGATTGCTTTTGCAATCGCAAAACGATGTTTTAATGGCCAAAAATTGCTTTATGACGATCGGTTCCCTGCTTTGGGAACCGATTCTTCACATTACAATGATCTCAAAAAAGCTGATCGTTGGGTTTCAAAATGGCCACCCGCTGTCCAAAATGGCTCCCCGCTGTTTTTAGGAGGCATTTTTCACTTTACAGGCACTGGAAAATGGCTGCCCTGTGGACGATTTGCTGGATGATTAGGTATTTAGCCCATTAGAACACATTGAATGCATTTGGTTTTCAATGCATTTCAATGGGTTTTTTATTTTCGCTTGACGAGGATTTCGTTCTACAGCGATTTTGCTGGAATGGATTATCCTCGTCAAGCGAGGCACCACTGTACTTCTATTTTTTCCTATCAAGATGAATGGATCTGAGCCAGCATACTCTGTTCATCTTCATTTCTTCAGAATTCCTATTTCTCAATAAACATTTCCCCATAAATTTAAAAAACTTTTTTGCGCTTGGGTTAGCGCTTTCTTCTCTCTCTCTAACAGGTATCAAATTGAACCTGCCAGAGTTTCACAGACCTGAGTTTTTACAACAGTTGGGACCCTGACTTGGCAATTCAAGAAATGGCCCAAATCAATTTGAACTTATTTGGAAATACCCCAGTTTGACTCAAATGCAGACAGTGAAATGAAATTCTGAAAGCAATCGATCCAGCTATCATAGGAAATCTACAAATTACAGCTTTTGTCTTGTTTGAAAGAACGAGATAACACCTACAGGTTTAATAGATCCAGATGAGGATGAAGGATGCTAAATTTCACTCTGAAAGTTATAAGTTTTAAAGTCTGTTTGAAACTGCACTTCTAAAAAGGGAAAGTGGTGTGTGTTTTTTAAAGAGTTTTTAGTAGAAGAAGAGGCCCAGCGTTAACATTTTAAAGAGAAAATGCAATCACTGGTGACTGACCACTTACCTCAGACATATCATGTACCAGCAGAAGAGGAATACTGACGGTTGTAATGTCATGTGTACAGCATACTTTGAGGATATTTCGGAGGCCCATGATTGCAGGATCCCGGGCAGTAATATTACCTGACCTCACATTATCATCCACACAGAGATGAAAAGTAACATGAATTTCAGAGAGGTTTGAATGGCGACTTATGTAAAATTCTCCTAAAGGAATCATATCATAAACAACAGTTTAATTTACAGTTTTGTGAACTTAAATTAAACAAGAAAGGATTAAGTTGTGACTAAATCTTCACCCAATGCCCCTCCTCTTACTCAAATAATTTCTGTTACATTTTATTATGCATCTCAGTTAAGATATCCCAAAACAAGTGGTGCAAAAGAAAAGCACTTCACTCCAGCAATACAACAGTACTGAGAGAGAGAGAGAGAGAGAGAGAGAGATAGAACTCCTTAGCTGTTACAATTCTTAAACCTAAACAGAGTGAAACATGTAACAGTGGATTCAAAACTTAATGGGAGGTTGCAGCACTTCTATGAAAAAATGGATATTTTCTTCTTGTGAAAGAAAAGGACAAATCTCTCTGCCTTATCACTGCACTGTCCATCTGAGTCAACTACCTTTCTGAGTAGATTTAATCTCTAATTGGCCATTCACATATCATGGACACAGGCTTTGTAACCATAAATTTTAAGTCTGCAAGAGAAGGGGAACATTTGGTGGTATGGACCAAAAAGGATTCCATTTCAATTCAGCAAAATCAATCCATAAAAGGATTTTTCATAGGACTATTCTTATACAATTTTTTTTGCTCATGTTTAACTGCTGTGTGAAGGAGACAATGCCTGGAATAATTAGTATTTTTTGCTCCTGCAGAATGCTCAATAAAAACAGAGCCTGCCACCACAGTGTTCTCTTCTGTTTCATAATATGAACCCAGGGGAGTGTTCTGCCATCAGTCTTTAACAAAACCAGACCTTACGAAGGTGTGGAGACAATACAGTATTAGAGGAGGAAAGCAGAGAAGGATGGCAGCACAGCCAAAATATATTATTTTCTGCCTCCAAATCTTCAGAAAGTCTAAAGTAGATAACTGTCCTGTTCCTAACACGACCATAGATGGATGTAGTTGTTCAGCACAGTAGTCAGATGAGACACGTTCAACAAGAGGGGGGAAAAACAGATTGTCCTATGACATCTTAAGGACAAGCAAGTGTATTGTGAAATTAGCATTTGTAGACAGAGTCCACAACTGATGCAAGAAGCGTTAGAGATTCATGAATTTTCATTCTACATAGCACAATTTAGTGCCTTTAATAAAAAAAAAGTCAGATGTTTCCTAAATTTCCATTCTATACTTTGTAACAAAAAGAATAAAAGCAAAATCTTGCCTCAAAAAACCAGCAAGTGCAACTACACTGGAAAGATTACAGTCTAAATTCTGACAAGGCAAACATTCAACTGAATAAAATGCGCAGAACATACCTGGCAAGATATTTGCAGGGTTTTGATCAACAGTCTTAGATTTATCATCACTTGCACTATTTTTGCTTCCTGCTTCTATAGGAAAAATAAAACTTGGTGTCATGTAGAACTAGATGCTGCTCCATGATATATAACAACATTCAAGAAAATATGTTATGTGTTACCGTATTTCTCCATGTATAAGACTATACTTTTGTCTAAAA